CCTGCTCCACGAATGTTTTGCGCCCTTCCGTGGCGTCGTCCTTCCATTTCTGCGGAATGCACGCCCAGTCGATCCAGACGTGGGTGATGTCCGGGCTCTCGCGCAGAATCGTCTTCAGTTTCTTCAGCTTGGTGCAGTCCGGGTCAATGTGCCAATGCCTGACCCTGCGATGGCTGACTGCAGCCTTTGTCCTCGCCGCTCCAGACAGGACGTCTGCGTCGGTCATGAAGATGCGCACCAACTTGCCCTGATCCCTCAGGGTCTGGTGGCGGGGCATTGGCCTGTCCTCAGGCAGTGCCAGGAACTCCTCGCGGCTCATGAACCAGAAGTGGAAACCCTGTGCTGCGTCTGTCTGCGCTGCCCATAAACGGGGCGGCGGGGCGGAGAGTCGCGATACGTCTTCGGTGGGGTAGTGTTACGCAGTTTGTTCTGCATGGCCAAGCGTTACCATGCATGCGTATGCTATACAAAGCAGCAAAATTGTTTATCATCGCGCGCGCATAGCATACCATAGCATGGAACATCATAGTACCGCATAGCGCTTCACCTCATATCATAGCATAACAACGCATAGCACGTCATAGTCATAGTATCGGATCGTATACCACTTCATGCCATGCAACGCATTGCTGGCCACTAGCATAATATCTTAACAATGCACCACGGTGGACCGTCGTTGGAAATTTGCATCGGCCTCCGCAGCCACATAGGGACCTGACTCCAATATCTTCATGACTGTTTGATGGCTTCGCTGCTTCGCCCTCCAACTATGCTACGCTGTGCAGATTCGGCCCAATGAGGCATCGCCCCCCCTCGCGCGAGGACAAGGGGAGGATAATGAGGAGGAGGAAACGGTAGAGAGGATGAGGAGGAGAAGGAGCAGAATAACGAGAAAGGGAAGAGGAGGAGGAGGAGGTGGTGGAAATGAGGAGGGAGAGGAAAAGGATTGTGTTCCAATTGGGAAGATCTTCGCTGAAGAGCTTCGCGCTAAGGCCCCAAGCGTGAAAACGTGAAGATCTTCGCGCGGGGAGCGTGTTGGGCTTAGTCGGGGGCGTGTGGGCCAATCCTGTGAGCTCTCTGCATTGTCTTGGAGGCCGTATTGGGTTTCTTTGGAAATCTGGCGGCTCGAAAAAACAGTGGGGAGGAAGATCACTTCAGATCTTCGCGCTGAGGATCAGAGGGTAATGATCGCCTCTTAAATTCCAAAAGCAGCCCCCCCGCATCAATATTCTTAATGTAGATATTTCTGCTGGGGCCCTCTGGTGTCGTGTCGGGGGGCCTTTGGGAATGAACCTTGTGGGCGGTCTCTTGGAGGAAAATTTGGGCCGGCTTGGGCGGTTGAGGGGGCTCTGGAACATCCCCAGCGTGGAGGTCTCCGCTGTAGATCGCCGTGCCGAGGCCTCCAGCTGTAAGATTTTCGAATTACTGAAGATCTTTGCGCGGGGATTCACTTGGGCTTGGTCGGGTGCCTTTGGGACTGGGGCCTCTTGAATTGGTCATGGAAGCCACATTTGGTTTCTTGGCGATCTGGAGGCCCCAAAAAGTGCCCAGCGTGAAGATTTGGACCGAAGATCTTCGCGCTGAGGCCTCAAGCGCGAAGGCCTTCACTCAATATTTTCGCGCGAGGAGCCTCTGGCAATCCTGGAAGCCTTTGGGGTTGTCTTGGAGGCCATATTGGATGACTCTGGCGACCTGGAAGTCCGAAAGTATCCCGAGCGTGAAAATCTCAACTGAAGATCTTCGCGCTGAAGCCCCAAGCGTGAAAATCCCCGCTGTAGATGTCAAAGCCGAGGCCCCCAGCGTAGAGATCTCCAATTTAGATATGCTGGGGGCCTCTCGGGCCGTGCTGGGGGCCTTGGCCTGGGAGCCTTTGGGGTCGTCGCGGAGGCAATCTTAGGCCGTCTTAGGCGATCTGGGTGCCATGGGAGACCCCCGGCGTGGAGATCCCCGTCGTAGACCGCCGCGCCGCGGGTCCAGCGTGAAGATATTATCTGATGATCTTCCGGGCAATCATCCACGTGCGTCAGAAGCCATACAATTTGGCACAAGTATGTATCAACCATCGCCATGAGCGCATATGTGAACATAGCATGCGCGTGCTACGTGAAGGATTTGGATGTACATGCTTTGATGTCCGCTTTGATGGGTATTTGGGAGTCTCGGGGCGCATCGCGTTCACAGTGCGTGCGCACGCGCACGCAAACATCCAAGTGCAATAAGACAAACTACCGTACTCTGTCTGTGGGGGATTGGACGGGGGAACTTGGAGA